CAATGATTTATGCAATCAAATAACCAAAAATATAATCGATAAATAATCCAAATAAAGCATAAAATAATCGCAATAAACGTCAGCAAATAAAAATAGATAAATTCAGCATTCGTTATCAGCGAAATATATCAGCTAAATCAGTATTTAAGATTTTGCTAAATCATGACTTCTGTTAAATAATCGAGAATTCGCTAACGAGTTTGACTCGAAGTTATTTGAAGAATTTGACGTTGATTTTCTTGAATTCAGACTATAAAAAGATAACTAGGAAGAGATCAGAGATTCCAGGAATATTCACAGTGAGACGATGGAGATAATTTTATTTGGTTTCGTATAAAGTCAGAAACCGCTGTGTTATTCCAAAATCGCAAAAAACTCGCCGCGATAATCGTGTAAAAAGACAGACGAAACTTTTGAATTATTCAGAAGCCATCTCGAATTGGATATTTTCCTGATGCTCCAAACTTCATCGACGACAATCTGTTATCCTTCAATTTAGACTAAAAACGTGGCACTAACCGAAAATCCGATAGCAACGTTCTGGCACAATCGATTTTACGTAGATTCTCTAAATTGGAATTTAATTCGTCCACGTTGTTAAATCAACTGATGCTATAATCACTATTAGTTTATTACGTGATGCACGTAACTATCGTATGAGCATTCATGTTGTATTCATTATCGCTTAAATTTAATATCGATTAACATCGATATTTTGCAATATAAAGTTGCCAATCAGTGCATTAATAAATATCCGTTGTGATGAAAATGTGTTGAGTATATACTAGAATTATTATATCTGATATTTTTCAAATGTCGACAAATTAGAGACAAAATGTCGAAAATATTTAATATCAAATGCAAATAATATTAAACAGTGAGTTATCAATATTAAAAACGTTAGCAATATTATACACATTCTATTTTCGGTCGCATTAATATTCGATGTTGTTAAAGTATCTATATAAATAAATCTGTTTTCTGAATTGTATACACTTTTACTTTAAGTTTAAAACAGATTAACAAAAAAGTTTATATGACAAAATTTTGTGTTTCAAATTATTACAATATATTTAAAAATATCAAACTCTAGAGCGTTAGTTACATCTTATTAAATATTAGAAGAACTACACCAAAAGATTTTCATTGATTAATGAACTAAAGATCGTTCTCTATTGGCTGCCTAGAAGAATTTGTTCGTGAACATGTGCGGCTATCATTGAAGCGTCTTAAAGATAAACAAAAATGTCAAGCCTAAAGATGTATTATTATTTGAATATCATTATTATTTTTGTATTTAAATAAGATATAATTAACAGTCCAAAATTTGTTTTTTTTTTGTAAATATACTATTACTAATGATTTGATAAACACAAATTTTTTCGTTATCCTGTAGGTATATGTTTAATATTTGACAAAAACAAGAAAGTTCTAGTACAAGAATAAAAACATAAATCTATTATATCTAATTGGCACATCTTAATGGAAAAAAAAATGCCGCAAGTACTCAATATCAAAGGTGGAAAAAAATTGTAACCAATCGAACTTAAGACAAGCTTTCGGTGAGTACAAATCAGGAAGAACAGAACGAAGAAACAACCGCGCCTAATGAGAACTCGAGTAACCTAGAGAACGAGAGAAAGGAAGATAAATAGACGAGAGGTAGGCCACGGAGGGACGTAAAGAAATGGAGCTAAGAAATGGCCTCTTGAGGATTAGAATGAATTCATCGCGGACGAAGACCGCGATTCTCGGCTTGGATTATGCCCCTTTCACACGATCCATTTGAAAAAGTCTTTTATTAATTTTTACAAACAAATAGATAAAATAACATTTCGTTTTGTACTGTTGTGAAGAATTATATTCTAAATTAATATTAATTTAAACAGATCCGGATTTACACAATGCTTTTATCGATAAGTGCGTGTTTTAATTTCTGAAATTCTAATAATATGTGTAACGTGAACTATATATGCGCTAAATGTACACTAACATTGTTATAAACGTATTCTAAATATAGGCTATGAATTATTTGGATATTTCAATCTTTTCTTTTATACGTATATCTGGCACTTTTGTATAATTATATAAAATTGTCTATACATAGTATGTTATAAAAGATTAAAGAATGCATTTCAATTTTATAAACATAGATTATTACGCAACTATTTCAAGTATTTCACATAAAATTCTATCGCGTATTTTAGAGCGTAACATAGACTTTAAACCAGTGGGAGGTTACCGTCCTCTTCCATCGGAATCACCACGATCCTTTTCTTCCTCCTGAGTCAGCCTTTCTCCCATTCTCACTCCCTCACGTCTCGCACTATTCCAATGCGATTCCTCTTTTTCTTCTTCTTCTTCTCCTTCTTTCTCACCCCTTAAATTGCTCCACGGCGGTTCAGACGGTGCCGGCAACGTGTCTTTTGTCCGTGGACCGGTTTCTGCCGGTTCCTCGAACCATTTATTTCCCTCGTCCCTCGGCTATATATGACTATATACTCCTTCTCACTTCGCTTCTCCTCTCGCGTCCTCTCCCGTAACTCGTTCTCCCAATACGTTCCTTCGTCTTCTCATGTCGTTCCTTTTCTCACTGCATCTTCCTTTGCCTACTACCTCGTCCTACCACCCTCGATTGTATTACACCCTTTTTTCGGTCAGAGTATCGTATCACTGGCCGGTTCTTGCACCCGAAATAACGCCCCGATTCCTGGCAGCTTCCCGAGTCCATGAATGAACGCGGTCGAATCGCTTAGAGGCATGGAGGAGACGAGGAGTCACCGAGCCCGGCTTGTCTGACCTTCGCATGGGTCGATTCGGTGCGCATCTATCGACGACGACCCCCCGTTTGACCTCGCTTCATCGACCACGCCGAAGACCTGGACACTGGGTCGACAGAACTATGCGATAGCTCACGACTACATAGGCTCTTCCGCCTTGGCGTCGCGTCGATGTACAAGACATGGAGAGGGAGAGTTATAGTTATTGGCCTCGATAACTGCCGGTTTATTGGCGATGCTATTTCTTATATGTGTATCCCGAGCGAGACACTTCACCAACCTTTGTGCGATGTCACGCATATTCCTAGATTAATGTTCTCGAGAAATTAAACACAAATAATGTTTCTCTACACTGAGAAAAAAAAAGTCGAAATATTTGCAATCAAATGTCATATGTGACGTTTTCCTTGATATTTATTGGTTAATAAAAAAAAATTTACTGTGATGACAAAATATATATTTCTGTGAAATATATCTCATTAACGGTAAAAAAATAAAATGGATGATTTATTTGTTAGGAATAAAATTTTATTTCGCCGTATTCAAATGAGGATTTATTTCAGTGAAATAAATTTCATATCACATAAATAAATTTTTAAGTATTTTTCTCAGTGTGTTATGTTGAATATATAAAACGTGTAATTTATTCAGATCGACTAAATATATTTCAAAAATTCCTTCATAAATTTGAAGATTATATTTCTATAATGGTAATCATTATGAGTTATATAATTTTTTAATATTTGAATTTAAATGATTTTTCATGCATCATGCATCATCATGATAATGCACAATAAAGCTTAGGAATTTACTGTTAAATTACGCTGCAAAAATTTTCAATCGCTCGTGACATGAAAATTATTGACATCCTAACGAAAGAGAAATGTTTGCATATTAATTAAAAACAATATCTACGCGCCATTACAGATTTTTTTTAATTAATGCAGATTATTCTTTGATATAGAAATCTAAATATATAACTTGAAAAATGAAAAATCTATGACAGAATTTCAGGTATGACACGTCTCATTCTGTTTTGTATTGGAAATAGTAATGGTATTATTTTCCTTAGCAACAATCAGTTTTTACGCACTACCTGCGCCCTAACTCGCGATGTTTACGAGCGCTTGTCGATGTACAACACGACGCGAGTGCGATATCACGGTGCTTTTATCGTGCTTTTATTATGATACCCGAGACGCCAGGGATCGCGTTGTTAAATCAGAACCCTTTCGTTCGTCTTGTTACGCGCGCGCGAGGACGAGATTGCTCGATCGATTGGTGAAACGATCCCCCCGACAAACACAGGTAAGAATGGCACGTCGAATAAGACCGTGGTAACGGCTATCAGAAACCGAGCGCCGGATAAGCTTTTACTATCCGATAACGCTTAACGGCCATCGGTTGCGATTGTGCTGACCTGACCCGAGTATCGGTCGACCGACCGATTGCGTTCATCGACTTAAAAAGATTTATCGGCGCATGGCGCCCGCTTCGAGTTCATCTCTCGATGAAGTCGGAGAAACTACGATGCTCTGCTACGAAAGTTCACTACCTTTGGAACACGATTAAAACAGTATTCATCAGCGCGCAAATACCGCACCACTTCCACCCCAGAGAGAAATTAGCGGGGCAGACATTCCGCGAACCGACTAATGAATTTCGGGCAACCGAGCTATTCCCGCACTTCCTACGAGAGAGAGTTTCTCTCCATTTGCGTTCTCATTAAATCTCAATTTCAAATAGCACGTCACTCGCGATTATCCCCAGTCGTTTCGAGAGAAGTTCCTCGCTTTCGGAATTGACTATCATTTACGAAAAAATCCGAGAAACTTAAGTTTCTGAAAAGTTCTTTACCTCGAAATCAATAATAAATTTAATTACTTTAAATATCGTAATATAAAATTCTTGGATACAATTCCTTCAAACACAATAATGTTAAAACTTATAATAACATTAATAAATGTTTATATGTTGTATTTTAAATAAATATTTGATAAAACGTGGTTCTTTGATTTTTAGCGAATGACAGTCAATAATAGCGCGATATTTTATGTCACATATTTTGTAGATATTCACTGATTAATACCAAACTCATTAATTAATACCAAAACCCTTTCTCGTGATAAAATAATTTTTTTAAATATAAATTGAGAATAACCCGTAATTGTGCATGTATCGATGTTTCAAGAGAAAAGTTAAATCTCGAAAGTCACTTACCTTTTTCGAGCTGCTGCGATATCGGGCTTTGTACCCTCGGAGTTGTCTGTAACTGCGCTGCGTTTCCTGGTCGCCTTCGAGGCCTTCTTCCGGGTCGTGGCTAAATAATCAATAAAAGAGACAAATTATTTTTTAAATAATTAAATAAAGAGAATTAATATGATGTAAGAATTAATATAAATATAACAATTTTTATATATATAACAATTACACTGAGACATAACTTTTGTAACTATAATTACTTGCTACTACAATTCATGATCAACAATCATTTTCGGTTGTCAATATATATATATATATATCTGTTTTTAAAAATATATTGGATATATATTTTTACTAACATCATAGTAGCAATAATCACAATAATATGCAAATATAGTTACAGATACCAAACATTTTTTTCTCAGTGTGCAAACGTAACTTTTTATTGATCATTCAAACATATAGAAATATTTTTACAAATTTTTAATAATATTTGACAAGAAAATAAATTTTGAATAAAAGTAGAGAGATTGTGCGTTTATAATCGCGACAGTAACTGGCGCGTAGTTTATATAACTGAAAGATACAATTTAAAATTTACATAGAAATATTATTAAGCACTTAATCTAGTCTCGATCGTGTTTGGTACTTTCTTTCTTGTTTGATTTAAAAGTAGATTGATCTACTTAAATAAACGTTAGTATTATTCTGATTTTTAACGAAGACAAATCACAGACATAGATTGAGCATCGAATAGCTGATACATCGCGTGCAACGAAAATGTTTCTATGGTTTCTTTCAGAATCAGCTGACTGTGGGTTAAAATAAACGATTGTACCGATTTATTATAGCTCGACCGATCACGCAGATTACAGACACGCCACGGACATTGCGGCTCAACTATAATTATACACTGCGGCAGAATCGATTTTCGACGATTACAGAACTCGTCAAAATAATAATAACCTTATAATAATATATAAAGCAGTAATGAACAAGTAAAAAATAATGTAATAAAGACTTAAGAAAAATCGCTAAAGTGTCTTCCCTTGTTTTCAGGAAACGCTTGTAACAAATATCTGTTTATTTAAAGTGGAAATAATGTCGGAATTAAGAATGTCGTGCTGCACCACTATGCAGTGGAAACGCAAGAAATAATCGTTTTAAACATCTTAAACGTATAACACAGATAAAAGACATTTGCTACATCTTTCAGAACAATCGATAGCACGTGTGACATTCGTGCAACTTTTGCAATGGGTAAAGTCGCGCAACCAACCGCAAGACTTTATAGACTCTCAATGGCTCGGGGTCTCTATCTCCTTCCCACATCATTTTCGTCGTCGTCGTTGTATTTCATTACTCTTCATCCTTGCTGCGCAATGTGTGGTACGTATGTACATATATACCCGCAGTCAGATAATCGTAACAGTACGAGTTCTTCGTCGTCGCTCGTAAAGTCACTAGCACCCGAAGAACAGCGCGGAAGGAACGAAGCGGACCAGGACAAGACGGGTTACCGTCTTTGTTTAACTGCCGCGTTTATTGCCGCGGTGATAAACGGACGCGAGCGCGCTTCAAGATAAACGTGAGCGAGCAAATGTCTCGCGTATACACGCAGAAACGACGACCAAATTTTAACGACACATTCTACGAGTTTGGAGTCTAATGTTCCTTAGCAAGACCCTCAAGAGGCATTGTAATTAAATGCGAAATTACAAACTAACACTTTGAAAGACTAAACTCTAAACAAACAGCAGCGTTTTCATGCTATCTTGAGAAGAGGTATTTTATTCTCAATCGCTCGGAATTCATTGGTTCTTTTTCAAAATTTTATTCGAGCTTGTTGTTAAAACTATATAAGATAGAAAGGAGAAAAGTCCTATTACAGCCCTACATTAGTTAAACCATGAAATAATGTACCGTAACATAATACTGCAGTGCACAGCAATGAAAAGAAAGGGAACGAAAATAAGTGCAGACTAAATTACCGGAATCCGTCGTGTCAGGGTATTTCAGGCATCTCTTAATAAAATCCTAGACTTCCGCAAAAATGAAGTTAGGTCTTGAGAGCGCTTCGCTAAATTATTGAAATTTTTTACATCAAGTTTCCTCTCCGGGATATGACGCCGTTTGGCATATTGTAATCTTCCTCAGCATACCAAACACGATCACCTCGCATGATTACACGTTTTCCGTAGGTCGTAACGCGATAGAAACAAACGCAAATATGAAAGTAATTTCAGAGAATTAATATTCTTTTTTACGTTATATAAATATCAATCCAATATTTTATCAAATGTATATTAATTCTATACTTCTAATTTTATTTTTCATTTATAACTTCATAAATAACTTTCATTTACAGTAATAAAATTAACGTCTTTATCTAGTTTTTATCTCAATATGTGATATATCTCCTTCTTTATCAACATTAATAATAAAATATACTTTAATTTTCGTTACAAATTAATATTATATGTATAACGCTACTTCAATTATATAAATATTAGTCACAATCGTTACAATAAGATCGCCAATGATGTTAATTCTGGCGCAGAAATGCCGGCAGCAAGTACTAATAATAAAAACTCCGACATTTAGATCTAATCTTCTGAAGTATTACGTCACCATATGAAAGCGCGACAAGATTTCCAAAGACCATGACCAGAGAATCAAGAGAAATTTCTCGAATTAATATTACAGAAAAATTCATTCGGCATTCCTCGCTGTGCACAGGTCACCCTTTGTTGGCTGCATGCACTTTCGCATTTCTGTACGAGAAAAGAGAGCGAGGAGGTTCTATGAGACGAGACGCCGCGTGCGCGTTCGTGCGAAAGAATCCACCCTCTCGTATATTCCGCCTCTCTTCTCCTCCCCCTCCCCCCCCGCCCTCTCTCTTTCTCTCCCTTGTGTGTGTTTTATTGCAAATTGAGGTTAAAGTCTCTGGCACAGAGCCAGGCATTTCACCTAGGCCGTTGCATTCCGGCAGATACACATGAGCGTTATGTGCTTGCTTATGTGTCTCGCGCGCGCACGAGAGCATCTCGATCACGTATATGCGAAGAGAAGAGCTCTTACGTGCTGCCTGCAGACTCTGAAGTACGATTCACATATACATATATGATACGTGCCTGAATAGAGAAAGTCTCTCGAATTCGAAGTATTTTTTTTTCTTGATCAGAATGCCGAGATGCTACTTGTCTTCGAATTGCAAGCGATTGAAAATAAAAATGGACTCTCCGTCCATCAAACTCGCGATGAAACAACGTGACCAAGTTTCATGAAATGAAAAAATAGTGAAATTTAACTATTTATATAGATTCAGAACGTACAATTTCAGAGAATTAAATAAAAAAAGAATTTAATTAAATACTAGAACATTGCAATAAAAATTTTGTCAAAATTTTTCTAAAAATTCCTCCGATAAAAAATTATAAATAATCTAGAAACAGAATTATTGATAATTTTGTGAAATATTTAGAAAAAGAAGTAGAAAAAATATAATATTATGCATTTTATGTCAGATCCATGTTATCTTTTTACGATATAAAAGCAAAGCAAATGTAACCACGCTTTTGAACAAGATTTCAATATAGGCATCAATAAAGTGCGTATCCGTGAGGTAAAAATAATTCAGTATATTAGATCGTCACATCAGTGGGTTTTATTTTTACACTCGCAAGTCTCGCATACGAGATATAAATAGTAGAAAAAAATGAAAGAAAAAGAAATGGTTGCGCGACAACGACGAATGATATTCCATAATATCATTAACGTACGTCGAGATAATAGCATCTTCGTTGCCGACGGATATAGGTAGACACATTACGTGCGGACAGCATCTTTTTCCGGCATATGCTAATCTAATTAATGATTGCACGGAAACCAGCTTGTGGTGTGTAAGCGACATATGTGTGTGTGCGAATGCAAGCAGCGGCGTATTTATTACGATTCAGAGTCCTCGAGATTTGCTCTTTATCTCTGCTTTTTTTCTCTTTTTTATTGTCCACGAAACTTTTAAAATATCAATTTTCGATAATTATATTTTGCATATTTAATTTAAAAAAATATGCACGTTATTATATATGATTTAATATTAATTGCTACAATAATTCAAGTTTTTCATGCACAAATTCATTTTTTATCAATGCCCTAAAGCAAACTGAGCAAAATAAGTGTAAATATTTGTAACATTCTACCTTTACGGTACAATGGTAATTTAAATTGAATATTACGATGAGCAAACAATTCTCTCTTCTCTCTCTTCTCTCTCTCTCTCTCTCTCTCTCTCTCTCTCTCTCTCTCTCCTATACATATATTTATTCTCTCATCACATATTATATTTGAAAAATTTATATTCTTTTTTATTATAATTTAATGTAATATAGAAATTAGTTTCACAACAGTAATAATAAAAAAACTTGTATATTTTACTAAATTAAAACATGAACATTACAAACACTAACCAGAAGACATACACATAAAGACACACAGAGGAATATCATTGCTAAAAAAAATTATTTGTTTTTTTAAATAATAATTATTTTTAACAAGAATCTTTTCTTGATGATAATTTTAAACTTACTACAAATTAAGGAAAATACCTTTGTACTTATTACAAGTTAAAAAAAAATTCATTATTATTTATATTCTAAAGAAGAATTTTTTTAAGAATAAAATTTATCAAAAAACTTTATTTAACAAACAACTTAAATAACAAATAAAATTGATTTCAATTTAATAATCTTGAATTGAACACTAAACTTAAGATTCAGAATATAAATTTGGAATATAAATTTGTTTGTGATAAACTTACAAGATTTGCGCATATATGAACTTTTGAAAATTACTTGAAACAAGTAATTATTATTTGTGTACAGTATATATTTTTCTATATATACAAAAACATATATATGCAAAAACATATAAATAACAAAATGTCTTAGCTAGCTAATACGAAATGCAAGATGTGGATAAAACTAAATTATCTTGGCGCTCGATAATGAGCCAATTAGGAGGCAAATTGCAACTAAGAAAATTATACATAAGAACTGTAACGCGACACGTGAATCGTTTATGAGATAATAATTAAGACAAGCTGATCGATTGAGCGAT